CTTAAACACACATATTGACAACATGCTGTTCGTGTATCTCATGAGTCAGATTGCCTCTGTGATCAGAGAGTGATTTTTATAAAATGCTGTATTAAAAAACAACTTTCCTTCTGTGTTGCACTTTCTTATGGAAATGAATACACTCTGGGGTCTATGTAGAGTCAAAGTTTAATGCTTTCATCCTGTGAAAAGCTTCTCAATATGCTGCAGCGAGGGCTTCGAATCAGCTTATTAGTTTAGTTTGCTAACAATTTTTCCAGTGAGGCTACACCCATCTGGAGATGAAGATATGAGTTTTATAATAAATTAATGTTTCTAAACATTGCAAAGTTGTGGCTAAGGTTCCAGTCACCTCATTATTTTTGCCTAAGAAGAAAAAAAATGTGCTTGTGTACATTCCTCAACAGAGGTAAACACTCCACAAAATCCAACCAGCTACAATCAATTAGAATATGTGGCGGGGAAATGCATGCACTGTGAGACAGAGAAATATGAAAACTAATTTTGTCAGATCCTCTGAAGGTGTTGGTATAAATATTGTTGAAATGCTTTTACTTTTCCTCTTTCACTAAATGGGTTTTTTAATTGTATTTTTAAATATTTCTGTATTTTTAGATCCAAAGTCAGTGCTTTTATTGTTGTAGGCTGATATCAAAATATATAATAGAGCCAAACAATCCCTTAAAAATAAATTGTTCACTCTAGGAATGCACACATGGGTATAGAGTTTGATACTGAGGAGGATGGGACTGGTGGCAGATACACCTCAGCTAATATGGAATTACTATAATACTAGAGGGAAGTGGTTTTAAGATGTTAATGAAATATCTACATTTCATTTATATTTGTATCTGATAGAATTTTTGTTGTATGCGTGGGTATAGGTCATCATAAAGGATGATGAACAGCGACTGGTGGAATACAGATTCAAGGATATGCAGGTTAAGGACTAAAAGGCTTTTAGAAAAATAAAATAGAAAAGTAGAGAATGAAATTTTCTGTCAGTTCAGTGCCAGTGTAAAAGTAGTATAAACATGGCAGATGACAGCTGGATCAGAAATTCTGCAAACACCCCTTAATTCATGTCACTATGGCAACCAATGCTCCCACTCCTTTTAATTTGTCCCCATGAGTGAGGTAAAAAGGATAATTCATACTAAAGGGAAATTCATTTTTCTGTGTAAGACTGATACTTTATACTTTATATGAACTGATCCTGATGTGTGTGAACAAACGTGTGTGTGTGTGCACGTGTGTTAAATATACCTTCTTATATTCAGAAAAAAGAAAACACTAATAACACAGGCAACACTGATGGATGTTAATAACACAGTAGTCTAACAGTAGTAAAATGTGTCCAACCTCGATTCAGTGACAGGGTTTATTGTATTTTCTCAGCGAGCAACACTTTCTTCCCCTGTTCACTGTCAGTCTGTCTCTATGATTTATCTCTTTATGGTCTTTTTGACAAGGTGTGCATAAATTCATCTGAGGCTAGATGGACTCTATATAAACAAAATATGTAGGGGCAACACACACCATTTTCAAAGATATAAACTGTACAGTAAAACAGCACACTTCAACTGTACCACCTAACCCTAACTCCTTTATGCAAATAGGATGTGCGGTGTGCTTTAGACCATGCGCAAGGTAACACAAGGATTTATAGTCTGGCAATGTGACGAGGTAGAGATGGGGGAAATAGTGCCTGAACAAAGCTTTGTTTGGCAGCCAGCTGCACCGACTTATTAAAAAAACACCTTATCAAAATCTGAAAAAACAATTGACTTTAATTAGTAAATTCCATTATTATCAATTTTTTCACATTTCATTTTATTTGCATTGGGGTTGCATTTCTGTTGGTGGTAGATTTAATGTACAAACAGTTTTGTTAATTTGACCAGAGACGTGTCTAGCCAGTATATGCAGTATCACCAACCCTGTACGTGCTAAAGTTTAATGTAGCATCTGACCAGGGGGATGATAATATTAAAAAAGCACTAATTAAAGGTGAACTGAGGCAAAGTCTGTGTGGGATTTTAATGCTCATGCATAAGGTGCAGAGATGTAAACAGTTCTGGTGGCCATTCAAATGCAGAAGGGGAAATCTGTGTTGTCGCCGAAAATAGATGTTAATCTGATGACATTTGTCTGATTTTGTCAAGAACTGTAAACTGAATTCTTGGAGAAAATGTGTAGAAAAAAGACAATATTGTTTAAAATGATCTATACATTTCAAAAAAGCTGTGTTGTCCCCACCTGTAAGAAATGTTTCGTCCTCTGATCACTGAGCAGCCTCTGCCGAGAATCTACACTTCCACGTCTTGTTTCCGTGGCTCCGTGTTTGTGTGTGACTCAACCAGAAGTGTATTCAATCCTTTGGCAAACCTCCAGGAAAAGTAAAGGAAATAAATTTCCGTGGATCCAGCATGACTCAGTGTTCTGACTGTTAATGGGAGACATTGGATCTCATTAATCCTTTACATCAAAGACTAATTTCTAACTTTAAAATAAAATGAAAGCATTCAGCTGTTTATTTTTCATTATTGAAAGTCATCACATTGTTAATGGGTGACTCTGCCACATTTTAAGATATCATGTAAATCTGTGTTTGAGTCACAGTCAGTTCAACTATTGTACCTGAATTGTCAAGGCGAATGATTGTTGCTTGTAAATGCCAGTTCACAAATCTGCCCCCCTCTATCTTTTCCCTCTTACCTTGAAAGCCTTCTGCTGCTTCACTGTTATTCTTCTCTGACCCCCCATGCAGCTTTTTCGCTTTTCTTCTCCAGTAACCCTTCCCTCCCCAGCTGGTACAGTTTGCTGGTTAAATATTTGGTTGGGATACTCGGGGCTGGAAGGCCTAAGCTCGGAGGATCAGCACAAGAGAGGCTGCAGTTGTTGGGGATTAGCTGCTTGTTTTATCATAATACCACTGCCTGCTTGTTTGGGGTTGGTGCTCTCTGGGCTGCAAACTCAGAAATCACAGTTTCTTAAAAAATGTATGAGTAATGTGTAAGTCATTATTGCTGAGCTTTAGTTTTGCCAGAGGAGACTGAACAAAAAACATCCTTGGGATGGAAATACAACAATGCTACTTTTGTTCATACTGTTCTTATATTGTCTGTTGTAAAGTAAAAAAAAACCTATAAATATAATAAAATATAACTAAATAAAATACAATAAATTCTGAGTTGTAACTCTGAAAAGCAGAAAATGGAAAAGAGAAAGACAAGACAGAAAAGGATGGTGCTACAAAAGAGGGAAAGACTGGGAACATATTATTTGGTCATGTGTGTAGACAATATTCAGAGTAAACGAACATCAAATCACAATTAAAATAAGGCAAGAGTCAAAAGGGTGGGTATCCACAGAACATTGTGATGAATTTAATGGTATATTATCTTTAAAGTTATGCTGTTGAAAAAAAATGTCAGTTTTCCAGAAGTTAAAAGGATTAGTTCTGTAGACATTTTTGAAACTACTTGTTGTTCTTGGTGTAACTTAGATCAGGAGATATCCAATATCGGTAAACAGAGAAGCATATCATTAGCAGAGCATAAAGACCAGAAAATGAAGGGAAACCATTTGACTTGCCAAAATGTAGCACTTAATGGTCTGTATTCAAAACCCATTTTTCTAGTCTTGATGATCACTGAATGTGCTTTGAACAAAAATGAATTAGTACTTCATGACAAAAAAAAAGCCTCCAAAAGCCTTTGTCCATTTAAATGCACATCTGTTTAGAAAATAAAAAAAATCAAACTTGAAAAATAAAGGAAAGAGCTCAACTAATGCTTCCTGTTTGTCTTCTTGTGTTTTCCTATGTCTAGAATCTGGAAAGATACGAACAGAGCAAGGACCAATTCCACCAAGCTGCCTCCAAGAGTGAAGAAAACGTGAGGTGAGACACGTGCACACACACACATGCACACACACGCACACACACACACACACACGCACACACACGCACACACACACACACACACGCACACACACGCACACACACACACACTCCCAAGCTAATTTGCAGTTCCTAACGTAAGGAGATATTATTCCCCGGAGCCTCTGACACGCACCCACCAACTCGCACATTTACATGAGCATGCAACAGCAGAATAATAAGCTGCGATTGATAGTGATCTGCACTTTTCCTCATCTCTTAACCAGTTAAATGCATACAATCTCTTGAGCAAACCTGACTAATGTGATAAGTGTTTTAATTGGCTGCTTTAATTAAGCTAAATTTAACAATACCCTATTTCCCCATCCTCGCCTCCCACTGTGGACTTGTAATGAGCCATAGCCTGGGAAAAGGTACCTAATTATTGCCACTGCAGTCTGTAAGACACACAGCTGTAATTCACATTGGAGACCAGGCCTCTACTTGCTGTTAAATTTGTGTCACACCAGTAACAGTGCTTTTAAAGGACAAGAGTACAGCTAGCTAAAAAAGATGCCAGAGGACAAACTATACTTGTTTATGTCCTTCGGTGTGTCCCTATCCCTGAAGGGAGACTTCAGCTTGTGGCCAACTTCTTGTCACTGAAGTTTTAGTGAAGTGTTTTTCTTATGCTGTTATGTCTACAACTTTGAATTTGTATCAACATTGCAGAAAAAAAGGGCTAATGGGAAAAGAGATGAGCAGTAAGAAAAACATGCGGGTTTGAGAAAAAAACAACTAAATTATTAAATTTAGCATTGGCAGCACCATTTAAAGGTCCAGTGTGTAAGATTTAGGTAAAAGGAACTATTGGCAGTAATTTAATGTAGAATAATCCCCACAATGTTTTCAGTAGTATGTTTCATCACAATTGTATGAATTGTAGTTTTCTTTACCCCAGAAAAGACTCTTTATATTCAAATACTTTATATTTACATGGAGGGGGTCCTCTCTACGGAGGCTGCCATGTTTTTTACATTAGTCCAGACTGGACAAACTAAACACCTTTTGAGTTTTTATGACAACTGAAGCTACCACAGTTTCTTTTTCATGTTTGGAAGGAGAGGGTGAGGTGAGGGGTGTTCAGCTGCAACATGCAATTTCAACACTAGATATCACAAAATTCTACACACTGTACCTTTAAGGCAAATGGTAAATTTAAACACGCCATTGTAAAAATCTAATTTCTTAGTTTAGCTTTGACCAATGGTTGCTGCACTTGTACATGTTCTCCTTCGTAGCCACATCACATCTTTTCCCTCCTCGTGTGGGATGTTCCTAAGCCAGTGTGTTGTGGGTCTGTCCAAAGCAATCATCCACACTGGACATGCGCAGAAATAATTTAAACGGATGGGCTACAACAGCAGAGGACCACATCGGGCAGCTCTTTTCCCAGCCAAGAACAGTTCTCTAAGGCTGCATTGGGCACAGACGCACCAAAAACTGGACCGTTTAAGACAATAACAAGTTGCCTTGCATGGATGAAACACAGACTGGTTTATAGTTCCATGACAGAACAAGCTGCCAAATGCTGTCATGGCAGGGCTGACATCCATCTCTATTTTTTTCTCATCACCTCCACCGTCAACATCTAACACAACATGTATATATATACGTTGTAAGGTGTTCTGAACAAAAGCAAATGAGCTGCAAATAACTAGAATTATTTTTCAAAGTTGCATTTTCAAGTATATATCCTATTTTGAGCCAAACTAAATTGAAGGATTTGAGGAAAATAATAAGTAACACTGGTTCTCTCCATTATCTCTAAATAATGAATGAAGCACCTACTGCTCCAGTTATGAATGGCAGGTCCTAAAATAGGAAATTTTACCAAGGATTTAGAGTTTGAACATTTGCATGGTCAGTCAATTCTACCTGGATGACTCAAAAAATGAAAACAATAATGCACCTTTTCAAAAGAATAGAGGATTACCTGCTGACTTTACTTTCACAACAAAACCTTGTACTTGAGTCTTAAACCCAGCAACAACAAGAAGCTTTGGACTATATTCATGCATATATACACTGCACAATGTGTGTTCGCGGGGAAGTTAATAATACAGCCTCTCCATAATTTTGAGTGACTGTTCACTGCTATCTGCAGCTTAGGAATATAAGATTCCCATTAGTCTACTGCAACATGCTTTTGATCTGTGCTGATGTTGAAGACCATGGTGATCTTACCTCTAGGGAATACTGTACAGTAATACCTCTAATCCTTTGCTGGATGGTGTGTCTGTGTGTGTGTGTGTGTAGAGAGAGGGAGGCTGGGTATTCTAAATCCATGAGTGTTCTATCAAGAAAGATAAAACAATCCAAGCTTCCTGTATGGCAGTACCTTTATGGTCAATTATATGGTGCTTTTACAGGCTTTAGGGAATGGATTAGGCTTCCATTCATTCCGTAATCTAGTCTAAACCTAACCTTTGTAGAATTTAGAAGTGATACTTAAATGAATGGATTAGAGAGGAGAAGACTGACTGTGTATCTGGTGTCAGAATACAAAAACAGGATGTTTTTGATGTGTTCATGTATACTTAAGTGGTTACAACATGGTTCACTTCAATAGAGTTATTGTTATGTTAGTTACACCTGTGCTTTTCCTTCTGGCGCAAGTCAGATACATGTCTGGCTCCTTATACGTCCTCAGCTGTGTGATCTCTTCAAGTCCTTCAAAGTAAACAACCAAATGGGTATGGTGTCTTCCTGCGCATGGTTACTACCAGCAGTGGAAGAACTAGACCTCTGTCTTCATTGTAACAATAATGAACCTGATGTTTGAGTTGTGGAGGGGTCATGGTCTATTTAGATAGTTGATGCACAAAAAACATTTTGCAAATCATATCTTTTTAAAGTGAGGTACGGATTAAAGGGAGGTTCAATAATATTGTCTCCTGTGTGACAGGAACCAGCAAAGTCACCATGGTTTCTATGATCCATGACAGTTCCACGACCTAAACTCTGTGTATATTATTGGAACCACAACAAAGATGCCAATTAATTTAACCACAATCGTTCCTAAACCTTACCAAGTCATTTTTTGCCCACCCCTAACCACACTGAGACCTCACACATTCTTTTCTGTAACCATGAAGAAAAAGGTCCTGTTTGCCTGCAGCCATGGTAGCTCTTCTGCTCATCTGGGTCATGAGAGGGTGGAGACAAACAGCTTTTTGATTGTTCAGGTCACAGGTTGACCGTTGTCTTCTCTTTTGTCTCTTTTGCAAGGGAGATTGTCACAGCTACAGGACATTAGGAGAAACCTTAGATTGTATCAAGTACCTCCACATTCTTAATATATGAGATTAAAATGGTAAACAGATATGATTTCATCACATGATGTTAACACACGTGATGTTACCAAGAGGTCAGCCAGACCAGAATTACATTCACTCACGATACTTAAAGTTAATGAATTAGACTACATAGTCTAAGTAGTTGTAAGAGATATCTTTATTTTAGCTCAGTACCAACGTTTAAATTTTAAAATTAAAATACAGCCACTGCAGCTTTGATACAAGTTAATAAGTCTCACATTAATTAAATTAAAAATGCCCCTGCTGTTAGTAATAGAGACATAGAGCCTGGACATTGATAGACACTGTGTGTATTGGTGTAGTTGAAAACAAAAGACAATTTTCAGACATTTCAACATTTTCAGATGACAAAGCGCCTGAGAAATCTGTAGGAAACTTCAGACAGACTCTGGTTTTGTGCTGTAAACAGTTCGACTGAAGTTTGTCTCAGAGCAGAGCGGTAGAACAAAGCCCCTATAATATTTGAGGTGTCTAACCCCCTCTGGCTCCTCCGTGTGTGTGTGTGTGTGTGTGTGTGTGTGTGTGTGTGTGTGTGTGTGTGTGTGTGCGTGCGCGTGCGCGTGTGTGCGTGTTCGTTCTTGTGATGTGTTAATCCAGTGTTAATCCTTGAAGTAAAATGGCAGCTTTTGCTTCCAGCACTCTGGTTTGAGGGACCCAGACAAGCACAGGGCCACTCTGTGGCATTGTCCTGTGTGTTTATATGAAAGAGATAGAAGATGAAAAGAGAGAGAAAGGCACCTGTAGCTCTCTGAAATATCAAACTCAGCGAAGCATAAAAGAACATAATCATCAACTTTCCTATTGTTGTCTTTTCCTCTCCCTGTCTCTGTTTGCTTTCTTTGACTAAACCTTCATATTTGCCAGCACAGATGTACCGACTGTATGCACTGCACACCAGAGCTCCGTGTTTCTTGAAAGTAACACAATTTTAATCGAGCTGGTTTGCTTTGCTCACTGCCAACTTTATCATAGCTGCCATATATAAAAAGTCTGCAATCACATGACCAGTGTTTTTAATTTACAATAATTAAAATTCAGTTTAATTAACCAAATAGAGAAGAGAATAATAAAACAAAATATACCAATAATGTCTCTAAACTTAAATATCTTACAACATGAATGCATTACGTACTTAATATATATTTGAATATCTGTATACACCTCAAAAGGTAATTTATACAATACATTTTTAAATTATTTCTTAAATCTCAAGACCATAAGTGAAAGCAAACAACCACTGTTGTACACAGTTACACTAATAATGTGTTCTCTCCAGCACATAATGCACTATATTCATTGTTCATAACTTGTTAAGGGAAGTAAAAGAACACTATCCGTACATGCAGCCATGTTGTATAAATTCAATACATACAAAAGAAAGAAATGTAAATTAATGGCTACACAATATGAGTAATAAATGAAACTAATTCTACAGTCCCCCAATCCACCACCTTCTCATCACATGTTCCAGTGTTTATTAGCGCTGGAGCACATCTCACTGAGCTTCCACCTCACAGGAATCCACAGAATCCAACAGATTTCATCAGGTTACATAATGCTGTAGATGGTAGTATGACTTCAGGCTTGCATCAGCAAAACAATATTGAAACTTAAGTCTACACCACTGGGTCTCTAGATGGT